GGGGGCTTCCAAACAACCAAACATTCGGGCCCGTCCGAATGACCAAACAGGTCCCCGAACGACCAAACATTCGGGGGTCCGGTCGGTGGCCTCCGAACATTCGGCCCAGTAACCCTGTATATATATATAGTCAAACAGAGCTGCCCGGTAAAGCGTAGGCAGAGAGGGAGAAGAGGACAACAAACGAGCGGCTGTGACAAACTGTTTCGTCGGAGTTTCACCGACGCATCAGGAGGCTGAACCCTCAACAGCCTGCAGAATCCCCTAACTGATTACACTGTAAGTGATAATCCGCCTTAACCCGAGCTGTGGTTAAGCATCAACGGCTGCCCGACAACTTATACCCTGAGGTGGGCACCAACCACTGCCCTCAAGGTACCTGTGATGAAAATCAAAGCAGACTATCCCTCACCCACACCAGATGGAAAACGATACAGACTGTCGGTTCACACCCCATCATAAGCAAGCAAAACACCCACGAAACAAAGAAAGGTCTGTCACAGCCAAAAACTACACTCCGGACATGCCGCTGGCAATAGAGGCACAGCATGCCCGCATATTAACAGCCCCGACCACTGCCACTTGACCTGACCAGAGAAAACCGTAGCAGGGTGCTAGCGAAGTCGTGGTATATATAGTCAAACAGAGCTGCCCGGTAAACCGTTGGCAGAGAGGGAGAAGAGGACAACAAACGAGGGGCTGTGACAAACTGCTTGGTCGGAGTTTCACCGACTCATCAGGAGGCTGTATATATAGTCAAACAGAGCTGCCTGGTAAACCGTAGGCAGAGAGGGAGAAGAGGACAACAAACGAGGTACATATATGTATATATTATTATATTCAGCGTCCTGATGAATCGGTTAAACTCCGACAAATCAGTTTGTGCCACAGCCCCTCGTTTGCTATTCTCTTCTCCCTCTCTGCCTACGGTTTACCGGGCACTTCTGTTTGATGATATGTATATATATATTGTCACATAACTATGAACTAAAAGAGCGCAATTTGTGGGAAATAATAATAATAATAATAATAATAATAATAATAATAATAATAATAATAATCAGGCAAACATGAAGGTCACAGTGAAACCATTCATTTTACTCATTCTTCTTTTGACTCCCCTTTCACCGTGCCTCTCACGTACAAGGCTCGTCACGTTGATGAAGTTGAGCGTGAGCTTCCCCCATCCCCGTGTGCCATAACAGCCCACTTGTACGCTGTGAGAAAGAGGCAGAGTGAAGGGGGAGGGGATAAACACAGGGAGGAGAGATGGAGAGCAGACAAACAAAGAACGATAGAGGGAAAGTAAGGGAAAGTATGTGGCTATCTACACTCTTTTCGTTTTATGGATTGTTTGTGATGGTTTGTGGATGGAATAAGAGAGAGTTTGGGGGTTCTTTGGAAACACACACACACACCCCGATGAGTCGGTGAAAGTCCCGACAAAACAGTCTGGGACAGTCATGCTTTTTTTGTGGAGTTACGTATAGCGAACATGACAACACACAGTCATGCCCGCAGTTGTCCTTTGCGGACATAATGTCTCTAACAAGCTCAGCCTCTGCTCGTGTTCCTGTCCCTCTCTCTGTATGTCTTTCTATCTGTTGCTCCTTCTTCCCCCCTTGCTTCTCTCTCTCTCTCTCTCTCTCTCTCTCTCTCTCTCTCTCTCTCTCTCTCTCTCTCTCTCTCTCTCTCTCTCTCATGCGCACACATATACGCACACGGTCATGCCCGTATTCGTCCCTTGCTGACATAGTGCCATGCTAGTGACTTGAAAGTTGGAAAGGATGCCGGCGACCAAACTCGTCAGCATGTTATCAGTTTGAGAATCCAAATTCAAGTTTCAACCTGACAAAGGCTACAACCTTTGTCTGAAAATTTTACTTCTTCAAAAAAAAAAAATAAAAAAAAATTACTTCTTAACATTTACTTTGGTGTCAATCTATTGTGGTTCTGTTTCCATCTATCAAAAACCGACAAAAAGTGATTTACGAGTTCTAAATAGTAAATTCTAAGACATTTTTCCTTTTATCAACAACTCAAGAATGGATCTGCATTTGTGGGTGGAGAAGACTGGAAAATGGACTGATTAAATTTTATTACTGATTATTTGTTTTCTGACCATGGGATGAATATGTTTCACTTGTGTCTCATTCTATCGGGTGGGGGGGGACCGCGGGGGAGGTACGCTGTTGCTTTTGCTGAATTCTACTCCGTCCCGTCTGCGCAGGATTTCCCTAACGCGGTAAGTGAACTTTGTCACAGAAACTCTCTCTCCAATCGTCGAAGAAAACCATTGTATAATCTGGAACAAGGTTTTCGAACTTTGAATTCGATTGTTTTGTTTTTTCAACTCTTTTGTTATTTTAAACTGCACTTTTTTTTGGTCGAACCAAACTTCGACGAAAAGTCCTTTTTTTCTTTAGAGCTGGCAACCGGGTCCGGCGTTCCTTACAGTCGTAACGCAGTGCCGGCTTCCTCCCATTAGCCAGCTTTGGCTTGTAGTGCAGTGATACGGGTTGGGTTGGAATTGTACTGTTTTTTCTAATCCAATAGTCCATGATGATCGTACCAGTATTTGGGCGAGTTTCGTACCAGGTACAGCTACGAAGACCATGCTGCTGTTTCTTTCAGGCGTGGACGGGTTACTAACCAACTTCAGCAGGAGGGGGGGGGGTGCGGGGAGGGAAGGGGGAGAAGG